CAAGCTACATGCTTGGAGGATTCTTACATAAATGACAAATATATCTTTGCCAGCTGGTTCCAAGCGGTCTAACGCTTGCCTTAAAAAAGGCAGGTCGTCATGTAATGCTTCCAAGTATGTTGAATCCCGTGCGTCACTTGGAGCTGTAAATTGAACATATGGCACTCCTCTTTGTTCCCGAAGTGCAATCATGCCCCAGGACCTTCGCGAGAAGGTCCTCTGCCCAGTTGCGAGTGCCGGTGAAGTGTTGTAATAACATTACATCAATCAAGCATGCATTGAAATATGTAGCACTTTGCAGGAAACAAAGCATACCTCTTTCATGGCAGTGTTGTATTCCGTTGTCTTCACCTCGCTCTCTGGCAGAGCATCGAGCTGAAGACGCTGCTCCTCTGAATGTATAATCTGGTCGGTGGCATTACGCTTATTGGATGCCCGATATGGGCGCTTTACATACTCCTTGTGGAAGTGTTCGAAGATGTTGGCATCGTAGTGAATTGGTGGCCCCCCCCTTCGTATTGCGTCAACATAATGACTCATCAAATGCGTTTTGATGAAGCCCCACTTGTAGTCCTTGAAAGCCGTTACGAGTAAGTTGACCAACCTGAAGAAAAGAGACAACGTCTTTAGTTAAAAATGGGGAGACAATGCTGTGAGCAAACTGCACAGCTCAAGGTCGTACGTACTGTGCAGCTTGCGTCTCCAAACGGCTCAACATGGCCTCGTCGTACACCTTCGCTTTAGCACATGTGCTGTACCATGCAAGGTATGCAAGCACCGCATTCATCTGCTCCTGAGAGACGTCTTCGTCCATGATTAGGAATGGCAGGATTTGCATTACCGATCGATGCTCATACGCTTGATAGTTAGCCCCCAATCGGAAGTAGTCGCCCGATGGAAGGCGCATGCCATCGCAGCGGCATTTTCTCTTCAAGTCTTGCAAGCGGCTGAATAGTAGAGGAGAGGAGAGGCAACCGGGGCAGAGAGGCAACCAGGGCTGAGAAGAGTCAACCAGGGCAGAGGAGAGGCAACCAGGGCAGAGGAGAGGAAACCAGGGCAGAGAGGCAACCAAGGCAGAGAGACAACCAGGACAGAGGAGAGGCAACCAGGGCAAAGAAGAGGCAACCAGGGCAGAGGAGAGGCAACCAGGGCAGAGGAGAGGAAACCAGGGCAGAGGAGAGGCAACCAGGGCAGAGGAGAGGCACCACCCTTCAACTCACACCCATAGCTCTGATCTTGCCCCATCCCACCCTCTCCTCCCTCTCCAACCAGAACAGCCCCCCTCCAACCGCCCCGTCATACCTATCAATGCCTGCATGCTTGTCCTTATGAATCACTGCACGGAGGGCTTCAAGGATGTGCTCCAACATTCCCAAATCCGCTTGGTGCATAAGATCCGGCATGACTGCGAGGTATGGGTTCCCCCACACCTCGGACTCGAACCGCCATCCCCACAATAAACACTGTGAGGGTCAGCAAGTTGGGAAAGGTAAAATACACAACCATTGCAGGGGCATAAGTGGAAGAGGAAACCAAGGAAACCTCCACCCAGTGAGCATGGATTACAACGTACCTTGAAAGGGTGGGTTGAGTAGGTTTGTGGGTGAGCTTGACCACGCCGGCGGGTTTTCATTTTAGTCACAATGTCGGCTTGTTGCTGTGGTGTGCGGTACTGTAGGTCTGTCTGGTATGTTGCTAGTGCACTTTTGTGCACCTTGCACAGTGAGCAAGGGTAATCAGTCCCTAGGGACTTGGTGCAGGTGATTTTGCAGGTCTCTGGGTAATCAGCTACGTAGGCATACAAAGCCGGATACGCCGTGAAGACATGACCAGCCGCATCTTCGACGCGGGTACCCCTGTGGTGAAGCAAACAGATTTCAGTTTGGGAAGGGGATGTTGGACTCACGTAAAAATGACAATGCGAAACCATAGGGTAGCGCACTTACACAAAACTGGCTTCCTTGAGAGGTTCAAGAACCTTACACAAGACATGTTGGAATGCTTGTTGGCGGTCCTGTGCGTTGTACTCAGATGGAAATTCAGGCAGCATTGCAATCATTGCATGCCCAAAGGGCTTCCAGCGATCCTCCCGATGGATGTTTCCAAGGGATAAATACACTGGATGTCCTTTGGCTTTTCCTCTGCTGTCCATGAGTGTTTCATCAGAGGCGATGATGAGTGTGGCAACCACATCATCAGGCCCCAACTTGTCCTGTAAGCGGACAGATTGCACACGAGAATTAATTGTTGCCACATGACTCCACGTGGCCAGCATAAGAAAGAGAGTCCTCTTACCTGAACATTGTTCCAGAAATCGGCGGACTCTGGAGCATCGTATACTCTCACTCCGTTGATGATTTTTCTGGATGCTCGGGTAATGAGGCGGTGTGCAAGGCGAGGTTCACTCATGAGGTCTCTTAATGCCTACAAACAACAGTGGGCCGACCAACAGGGGGGAAGGCGGGGAATGAGGGCATGGATGTGGGAGGGGAGAGGTGCATGTCGCTTGCTGGCGCATGGCTGGGCACAGCAGCGTGGATTCAAGGGTGTGAGGATGGGGGAAAGAGAGGGGAAAGGTGGGGAATGAGGGCATGTATGTGGGAGAGGAGAGGTGCATGTCGCCTGCTGGCGCATGGCTAGGCACAGCAGCGTGGATTCAAGGGTGTGAGGATGGGGGAAAGAGAGGGGGAAGGCGGGGAATGAGGGCATGGATGTGGGAGGGGAGAGGTGCATGCCGCCTGGTGGCGCATGGTTGGGTGCAGCAGCGTGGATTCAAGGGTGTGAGGATGGGGGAAAGAGAGGGGAAAGGTGGGGAATGAAGGCATGGATGTGGGAGGGGAGAGATGCATGTCGCTTGCTGGCGCATGGCTGGGCACAGCAGCGAGGATTCAAGGGTGTGAGGATGGGGGAAAGAGAGGGGAAAGGTGGGGAATGAAGGCATGGATGTGGGAGGGGAGAGATGCATGTCGCTTGCTGGCGCATGGCTGGGCACAGCAGCGAGGATTCAAGGGTGTGAGGATGGGGGAAAGAGAGGGGAAAGGTGGGGAATGAGGGCATGGATGTGGGAGGGGAGAGATGCATGTCGCTTGCTGGCGCATGGCTGGGCACAGCAGCGAGGATTCAAGGGTGTGAGGATGGGGGAAAGAGAGGGGAAAGGTGGGGAATGAGGGCATGTATGTGGGAGGGGAGAGGTGCATGTCGCTTGCTGGCGCATGGCTGGGCACAGCAGCGTGGATTCAAGGGTGTGAGGATGGGGGAAAGAGAGGGGGAAGGCGGGGAATGAGGGCATGGATGTGGGAGGGGAGAGGTGCATGCCGCCTGGTGGCGTATGGTTGGGTGCAGCAGCGTGGATTCAAGGGTGTGAGGATGGGGGAAAGAGAGGGGAAAGGTGGGGAATGAGGGCATGTATGTGGGAGAGGAGAGGTGCATGTCGCCTGCTGGCGCATGGCTAGGCACAGCAGCGTGGATTCAAGGGTGTGAGGATGGGGGAAAGAGAGGGGGAAGGCGGGGAATAAGGGCATGGATGAGGGAGGGGAGAGATGCATGCCGCCTGGTGGCGCATGGCTGGGCGCAGCAGCGCGGATTCAACGGTGTGAGGATGGGGGACAGAGAGGGGGAAGGCGGGGAATGAGGGCATGTATGTGGGAGGGGAGAGGTGCATGTCGCCTGCTGGCGCATGGCTGGGCACAGCAGCGTGGATTCAAGGGTGTGACATAGTTTCCTTTCCTTCTGGCGAATCGAAGCTGACAAGGGTATGGCACTTTTCCGGCTGTGTGTTTCGTTACACACCTTTATGCAATCGCAGAAGTGGTACTCCAAGACGGCTTTCTCCCCAACACGCGTGTAGGCCTTTTGCCATGATCTGTCGCTGGCTGTCACACGTGACGCGACGTATCTGTTTACATCGCGCGTGCTCTTCCATTCTGCAACATCTGCCCATGATGCATCAGGGTGGTTTAAAATGGAGAACAGCTTGGACACGGCTCGCTGCGACAAACTTTCCTGAAGAATCCATCAAGAAATCTCATCTCTAAACGAGAAAGGTGCTGCCGGGCGGGGCTGAGGACCATCAGCCGCACTTCTGAACTCGTTCTGTGACTCGAAATCACTAACTCGCGAAATGGGGGCCTCGGCGAGACAGACGTCTATATAATCCGTGTCTGGTACGTCAGCATCGTCGTCGACGAGTGGTTCGGCAACGATGGGGGCGTCATAGGTAGGAGGGGCGCATACGTTAGCCGTACAAGTCGGCCTCCACGTACTACTTCCAGGCCTATGCGCAGCTTCGCCCCCAGTGGAGACAGGCCTTTCAGCAACCCCTGCGCGAGCCCTCTTGCTAGCAGCGGCCAGCCTACAATTGATGCTACCGATGTGAGACTGTAGGGCTGCCCACCTCTGAAAGGGGCCTGAGTCACATTCTTTGCATAACATGGTGAGATCTGGAGGCTTGGAATGAGTGAGGAAACACAATGTAAGTACTCTCTGCTAGTCTAGGGGATTGCTGAAATGTGACCTCGCAAGCAGTGCAATGTTGGGACGGTCCACACCTCGCGTCGCGAATGTGCCCATTTTGTGTGTTGGCGCTCTGCTATTTGTCAATCTCTGCGAGGAACGTTCCACCGTTAGATTAGAATCTACGATACAAATCGCATGTGAAACCTTCGCGCTCTAACTGTGGTAGCATTCGCACAAGAGCGACGCTTCTTCGCGGAATCTCCAGGGCAAACAAAAATTGAACCAATCAGAATGTCGAGTTTCATGCGAGGTGGGAGAAGCGTAACGGTTTGACATTGCCGTTCAACCCAGTCAAGGATCCACGAAAGCTAGTCGTTCAACGAACCACCGTTTGGGGGCCGATTGTGCAGCTCGAACATGTGTACAGGCATGTGAATTTGCCAGGTTGGCGGGATACCACGCCTCGCGTGGGCCAGACGAATGTGTGAAACATCACTGTATACAAATTGAGCTCGCATGAAACAAACTGAGAAATAGATCGTAACCGTTGATAAAAAATGTTGTGCTGACAACCGTAGATGATAAAGTTTGGCGCCGCGGAATAACATCTCGAACCGCGATTGGGCGTTTCTGCAGCAAATCTGCCACATTTACAGTTGAGATACTCTCGTACACGGCCACCTTGCACCAAATGGGCGTGTACGGGAACAAACCACAACCAGCCCCGAGCCCTCCGAGACTCCTTCAGCTCACCCCTCGTAAACAAGGGGCCCCCCATTTTTGAGATGTTGAACCGGTTCCCACCCGCCGGAACGCACACGCCGTGTCCCGAGCACGGGCCGTTTGTTCTACTCGTCCCACAAAATCTTCTACATGCTGCTCCACTCCGTTGCTGTTTCATGTTACAGGTGCTGCTCTTACCGAGGCAGTTCAGCGCAGCAAAATACTCGTCGTCCGAGTCGGGGTACTTCTGCCCCTCCTGAGGACACACTTTTCGATTGTCCATGACGAACTCTGGGCTGCCCCAGAAATAATTTCCGCGGACGTCTACTCGCGGCTCCTCCTCTCCTCCCATGAACCCTAGATTCGGCATGGGCCCGAAGAAGAGATTGAAGGAAATGTTGAAATTTGCCACGCCGCTCTTTCGAAACGCATCTGCAGGAATCTCTCCGACGAACGCGTTGCGCTGGAGACTCAGGTGCTCGATTGCCTGGGCGGTTTTCATATACGCCTAGGGAAACTCGCCTCTTAGCCTGTTGAACGAAAGGTCTAAGTAATGGAGATTCGGCATGTTTCGCAGTAGAGCCACTGGGACTTTTCCGCTCAGCCTGTTTCCAGCCAATTTCAAACCCGCTAGCTTCTTCATCTGCCCGAACTGCTCAGGAACACTGCCCGAAATAATATTCCAACTAAGGTCGATGTCTGTCAGAGACGGATGGGTCGCAAGGGCGGCGATAGACGAAGCAGTGAACCGATTATTACGCAGATCCAGGTCCTCCGAGGCTCTTTATATCGAGTATTTCTTTTGTAGGGAGCGCACCCGAAAGCCTATTATTCCCAAGATTCAGTGTCGTGAGGCGCTTTATTTCCGCGAGGGTCGGTGGAATCGATCCCGTTAATCTATTCCCGCCCATCTCGAGCGAGACGAGATTCCTCAAGCCGGACAATTCCCGAGGGATTTCTCCCGTGAGACGGTTTCCGTCTAGGTTTAAGTACACGAGGCGACTCAGCCGCGAAAGCCCACGCGGAATGCTCCCCGTGAGCCGCGTTCCGAGGAGCATAAGGCTCGTCAGGCTGCGGGCGAAATTCCCGATGGAATTTGGCAGGGCCCCGGAAAGGCCGCTATTTCGGCCTCCATTGAAATCCGTGCGGATCTCTAGAGATTCGAGCTTCTGCAGATTCGAGAGGCTCTTGGGCAAGCTGCCGTAGATGCGCCAGTTGTCGGATATAGTAATCGACGTCAGCTCCGTCAGGTTCCCGACGGATTCCGTCAACGCGCCGGTGCAGGAGTTCTCGCCGTAGATGTACAGCTGGAAAACCGCACCGCGATCGTCGCAACTGATGCCGGACCATTTTGAGCAGTCGGCGCCCGCCACCCATGTCTTGGTCACCGGACAGCTGCGCCACGCGGTTTTCAGGGAAATTAGTGCACTTTCTTGCGAGGGGAGGAGGGGAACGGCGTTGGAGGGGAGAATAGCGGAGGCGAGGAGTGGGACGAGGCTGAAGAGCGCGAGAAAGGAAGATTTCATTCTCGGTGGCTGGTTTTAAAGACGTTATGATGATGATGCTGCTGAAAAAATAAACCCAATTCAAGAATCGAGGGCTTGATACTACTTCCAGGTATTGCAGTGAGGCCAAGAGAAGCTGTGTGAAGAGGACAACTTCGCGCTGCTGGGAAACGAGCGAGCTATGGTGCTTTATACCTGCCTTTCACGTCTGTGGAGTAGGCAATTCTGACCTTCGACTACGTTGAAACCCGCTGGCTGGAAGCGAAGTGCCCCCGAGGGGATTGAAACGGGTCTTCATCCGATGGAAGGGCGCACTCATTAATTGACAGCGCGTCCAGCCAAGACCTTCATTTCGCTCCGCGGGACAGCAGAAGAACCCCTCTCGGCTAGTCTTGAACATGGTACACTCTGGAAGAACGTTCATTTCTCCAAGTGTACGAGGTCTCGAACACGGCAGCCCACCAACGAAGCAAAATGTCACGGCACGTCGAGGTTGCTTGCAACTTCGTGAAGGCAGTCGTCAATCGCGAAATTGCGGTTCGCGAATGTTACATGTAGTGCTGCGACGTGGGTACACTTGGGGAGCGGAAATCGTCGCCAGCACATCCACCCTCCCCTTCCCGGCTTCAACGCGCAGACACCAGCGACGGCGCAGCTGACGCGCGGAACCACCAGGGCGTGGCACATTAGCGAACCGCGTCAAAAAACCGAGTTTGGGGACCGAGCACAGCCTGTCCAGTGGTCCATCACACAGGTGAAATGTTATGATTTAGAACATGTCAATGAAGGGAAAGTACATCGGCGCTCTGTATTAGGGGCCTCGATAATATGTACGGTCAGTGACGCAATATATACAATCAGAATTAGCGAGTTCGCAACATGTTTCATCAGTCGGGTTCCACGGTTAGTCAGAAACTGTAGGAAAAAAGTTCCACGAATGGTCAGTAGAAGTAACCCCCGCCCGTGTAGGAACGTTTTCCCGCTCGCGCCAGCCCAATTTCGTCATCATTGTGGCAGGCACGAAATTTCGTCCCTAGCCGGCCCTCTGGCCGTCGCGCCCGTCCCTAGCCGGCCCCCTGGCCGTCGCGCCCGTCCCTAGCTGGCCCCCTGGCCGTTCGCGCCCATCCCTAGCCAGCACCCTGGCCGTCGCGCCCGACCCTAGCCGCCCCCCTGGCCGTCGCGCCCGTCCCTAGCCGGCCCCCTGGCCGTCGCGCCCGTCCCTAGCCGGCCCCTGGCCGTCGCGCCCGTCCTTAGCCGGCCCCCTGGCCGTTCGCGCCCATCCCTAGCCGGCCCCCTGGCCGTCGCGCCCGCCCCTAGCTGGCCCCCTGGCCGTCGCGCCCGCTTCTAGCCGGCCCCCTGGCCGTCGAGCCTCTCCTAGCCGGCGCCCTGGCCATTTCGCGCCCACTCCTAGCCGGCCCCCTGGCCGTTCGTGCCCGCCTCTAGCCGGCCCCCTGGCCGTTCGCGCCCCCCCCTAGCTGGCCACCTGGCCGTTTGCGCCCGCCCCTAGCCGACTCACTCGCCGTCGCGGCCGCCCCTAGCTGTCGTCGCGGCCGCCCCTAGCCGTCGCGGCTGCCTCTAGCCGCCGCCGCAGCTGTTTCCCGCTGTCCCACGGCCACCCCTAGCCGACGCGCCCGCCCCTAGCCGCCTCCGCGACTATTCCTAGCCGCCGTCGCGCCTGCTCCTAGCCGTTGCGGCCGCCCCTAGCTGCCGTCGCGGCCGTTTCCAGCCGGCTCACGGCCTCCCCTCGCCGTCGCAGCCGCCCCTAACCGCCCACGTTGCCGTCTCCAGCCGCCCCACGGTCGCTCCTGCCGTCGCGGCCGCCCCTAGCCGCCGTCGCGGCTATCTCTGGCCGCTTTCGCGGCCGGCTCTACTCGCCATCGCGCCAGCTCCTAGCCGGCCCCCGTTGCCGCTGTTTGCTGGCCCCTCGCGCCCGTCGCCCGCCGGCCCGCCCCTGCATTCGCGTCGTCGGCAGCCCGCCGCCGCCTCGGGTTCGGCCCGCTCTTCCCGATCAGCACCGCCCTGCGAACCCTCCGGTACCGTACTGCACAGATTTGTACCACACTGCACCGCTTTGCACCGCACTGCATCACTTTGCACAGCACTGAACCGCTTTGCATCGCATTGCACCAGACAATACCGCACTGCACCGCACTGTACCGCAATGCACCGTCCTGCACCGCTCTACACTGCCCTCTATTGTCACTGATGTCGGAGGTGCTTCGCTTTGATGCTAAGGGCCAGCCGATTAAGTTTGATGTGTGGCTTGCTGACCTCCGTCGCCACCTCACGGGTCAGCGGCAGGATGGCCACTCGCTGTCTGTCCATCTTGACGGTACCCTCCCCTGCCCTGACCCCCCCGCTGCACTATCTACTGACCCCTCGTCCCCTGAGCGTGAGTCAGCTGCGGCCGCTGCCCTTGCTCGCTCTGTCTGGCTGTCCCGTGACGATGTCGCACAGCTTGCCATTAGCAATGCCCTCCCCCTGTCCGAGCGACCTCGCTTCAGGTCTATCACCACTGCCCAGGCTTTCCTAGATGCTTTTGTCCAGCGCTATTCCACCCCGCATGCTACCTCGGTAGGTCGTCTGATCCTCCCCATGCTCTCCCTTGACCTTGCGTCGTTCCCCACTGTCGCTGACCTTGCCGCTCACCGGCGCACTATAGATGAGACCTGGCGTGCTACCTGCACTGCCACACAGCTTCTAGCCCACTAGCCGCCCCTCACCTCTACTCTCTACCTGCTAGCCACCCGCCTCCCTAACCGTCTTGCCATTGCCCCTGACCACCCTTCCTTAATGTCCACCCTGCAGGCCTTACCCTCACAGACTTTGTTGACACCCTGTCCGCTATAGAGGCCCGCCACCGCTCTATCGCTCAGACTAGCGGTACTGTGTCGGTCCCTATCTTTCAGGGTTGCGCCCCCGCTCAGTGAACCTTCTCCGACGGTTCTGCTGCTGTGGCTGAGACTGCCGCTGCAGCACAGGTCCGTCTGGGGAAGGGTCGCTGCCCCAAGGCTGGGCGTGGCGGCGGGGGTGGGGGTGCAGGTGTAGGTGGTGCTGGAGCTGGGTCTCCTGGTGGTGGTGCGGACGAGGGGACCCTGACAGGTGCAGCCGAGCAGCCGTCTCAGTAGCCGCCGGTGTTGCGGCCGGACTCGCGTCAGCAGCAGCAGCCGCAGCAGTCGCAGCAGCAGCAGAGACGGGCGAGTGGTCTCCCGGACTGGCACAGCTTGCTTCGTCGTAGGGTTCAGATTTTTTATCTGGATATGGATGAGATCGTTACTGCTCTGCATGGGATGTATGCTGATGACTCTAGTGTGCTTCCGTCTTATTATCCCTTGTTGCCTACTGTAGGTGTGCCTTGCTTAGACTCCCCTGCTGCGTCAGGCGTAGGATCCTCTGCTTTGTTTAGCCTTGGTGCTTTCGTCGCTGCTTCGCCTCCGGCCGCCACTGCCGCGCTCTCCTTCACCCTCGACTCTGGCGCTTCTCGGTGCTTCTTCCGCGACTCCACCACGTTGACACCGCTTCCTGTCCCTGCCGCAATCTCTCTTGCTGACCCCTCCTCCGGCCCTATAGTCGCCCGCAGTTCCACCACCCTCCCCTGCCCGGCAGTTCCTTTGGGCTCGCTCACAGGACTGCATATTCCCTCGTTCTCCAGGAACCTAGTTGGTGTCGGCTACCTTCAAGACCTTGGCGTCACCACTACGTTCCTTGGACACGAGCGGTACACTGTCTGTACCGAGGCCGCCACTGGTGCCCCCCTGTCCACGTTCCCCCCGGACCCGGTGTCCAGTCTTTTCACACTGGACACGGTGACCCCCCCGGCTCGGACCCCCTCTTAGGTGGCTGCGTCTCCCCCGGTTGCTGCTGTCCGCTCCTGTCGATCTCCTACCCACCCGACTCTTCTCTGGCACCACCGCCTAGGTCACCATGCACTCCCGCGTCTGCGCCACATGTCACCGTACGGTCTCGTCCTAGGCCTCCCCGGGTCGTTCCCCGAGTTTCCCTCCTCCCCAGCCCCACCTTGTACGCCCTCTGTTGAGGGCCGGCTCCGCCGTGCCCCTCACTCCTCCTCGTTTCCCCCTACCGCAGAACTGCTACAGACTCTGCACATGGACGTTTGGGGCCCCGCTCTCGTCCATGGGCCACGTCGAGAGCGCTACTTCCTAGTGCTTGTCGACAACTACACGCGCTACACCACGGTCTTTCCCCTGGAGCGGAAGGCCGACGTGCCCAACGTTCTAATCCCCTGACTTGTCTCTACGCGTGTCCACCGTGGTCTCCCTGTCTTGCGTCTCCACTCCGACCATGGTGGCGAGTTTGCCTCTAGTATCCTTGGTCATTTTTGTCCTACGGAGGGCATCACCCAGACGTTCACCTTGCCAGACTCCCCGCAGCCGAATGGGGTCGCTGAGTGACGCATCAGTTTGGTCATGGAGGTGGTTCGCGCCTCCATGATCCATGCCGGTGCACCCTATTTTCTGTGGCCGTTCGCCGTTTGCTACGCCGCTCACCAGCTTAACCTGTGGCCGCACCCCCAGCAGCCTCAAGTTTCACCGACCCTTCTTTGGTCTGGGTCACCTGGTGACGCGTCTGTGTTTCACGTCTGGGGCTGCCTTGCTCACGTTCGTGCCTCTGGCACGGACAAGCTCACTGCCCGCACCCTCTCCTGTGTCTTCCTCTGCTTCCCCCTTGACGCGTCTGACTGGCACTTCTACCACCCGCCGTCTCACCGGTTCTTTCACTCCCACGACATCACCTTTGACGAGTCCGTCTCCTTCTTCCGCCGCTTCCCCCACCGAGGTCCCCCGGTTACCCCCCCCCTGTTCCTGGTCACCCCTTCCTCGGTCGTCGCCGCCCCTCCTCCTCCCCCTCCCCGTCCTGCCCCCTCTGGTGTGTCCCACGTCACCCCACTTCCGTCGGTTGTCCCAGTTGAGGAGTCTGCTGACTCTGGTGGTCCTGCGGCGCAGTCCTCGCCGCGTGCCCCTTCTCAGGTGTCTCATCCTTCGCCACCTCTGCAGCCGCCGTCGCCACCACTGTCACAGCCATCGCCACCGCCGCCGCCGCCGCAGCCGTCGCCGCAGCAGTTCGTTGCCTCTGGGGGTGCTGGAGTTGGGGTGGGTACTAGTCCTGGGACTCCTGTCGTGGCTTGTCCCGCTGGGCCTGGGGGTGGTACCGGTGCTCGAGGGGTTCTGAGCTCTGGGGGTG